CATCTTCAACAAATGGTGCTGGCATAACTGGATGCTGGCATGTAGAAGACTGCAGATAGATCCATATCTATCGCTATGCACAAAACATAAGTCCAAATGGATCAAAGACCTCAAAATAAATCCAGCCACACTGAACCAATTAGAAGACAAAGTAGGAAATACCCTTGAATTAATTGGTACAGGAGACCGCATCCTGAAAACTACACTAGCAGCACAGACCTTGAGATCAACAATTGATGAATGGGACCTCCTGAAACTGAGAAGCTTCTGTAAGGCAAAGGACACAGTCAGCAAGACAAAATGGCAGCCCACAGACTGGGAAAAGATATTCACCAACCCCATATCTGACAGAGGGCTGATCTCCAAAATATACAAAGGACTCAAGAAGCTAGCCTCCAAAACACCAAATAATCCAATTAAAAAGTGGGGTTCATAAATAAATAGAGGATTCTCAATAGAGGAATCTAAAATTGCTGAAAGACACATAAGAAAGTATCTAACATCCTTAGCCATCAGGTATGTGATAGGTCGGGTTTTAGTTGGGTGGGTGGTAGGGGAGGAGGAGAGGGAACTGGGATTGACATGTAAAACAATCTTGTTTCTAATTCAAATAAATAAAAATAAAATAAAGTAAAAATAAAAATAAAAGATTCCATCTTCCCAGATGTCCTTACTTTGTGTGTGTGAGCACACACACACACACACAAAACTAGCCAGCACAAATGGGATGTTAACAAGTTCAACATAGTCAGAAGTTTTAATAGTGTCTGTAGGCTTGATCCCCTCCTGCAGGTCAGGTCAAACCTGCTGGAGCAAAAGATTCAGGGAGCATGAATATAGCCCCTCATCCAGGCTCAGAGTGAGCCTGATCAATCAGCTGCTGCTTAGCTCAGATGCATCAGTGAGCACGGCCACATCAGCAGAATTTTCTCACTGGTGTACAGGTGCACGCACCGCTGAATTTTAAGAGGGTTTAGTTTATAGCTTTATAGTTGTAATAGCTAAGTAGTACAATATTCTTCTAGAGCAATAAAAATTAATTACCAGCAAAGCAAATGTTTAAAATGCTAACATGACTATTAGAATATAGAGTATATTTAATTTCATGGTTTGGTTTCTGTACAACAACACACACCTTCACCTTAACCATATTACCATCACTGGGGCTAAGCAGGCCAAGGCAGGCGGCAGTTAGAGGAGAAATGTGAAGTGCATCAGGTCAGTGCCAAGATCGTGGCTGTCCCCTCCCTGGCACTGTTGGTGAGTTAGTCATTCTTGTACACACCATCAAGGACTGAGAGTATTGCTTCCATGGTCTCCTCACATGTGGGCTGACTGAGAGCTTCAGGCAGAAGGAAACCCCATGGTACCATTGTCCCTCAGCTCAAATCTGTATGCGAAGGAGATCCCCAGAATCTGGAGCCCAGTCTTTTGAGGATCCTGACACAGCATCTCTAAATAAAGACAGGAGGCAAATGTAGCAGTCAGACTTTGAAAGGCAGGGTTCCATTGCCATGCCGGGGTAAAATGAAGGAGTTGTCCCTGATTAGGATCCCGCTGGCCTTGGTAAGCATCCTGTGTTTTATTTGGCACCTTGCTCTTCCTTGTGCCTGGAACATAGCAGAGGCTTAGTTAAAGTTTCTCAATTGATCAAAAAAGAGGCAGCCTCGAACTGCAAGGCAGGAATGAATGGACGAATCCTCACAATGGAATTTAAAAAGAAAAACAAAGACCAAAAATCTGAGACAATCACAGGAAAATTATGACATAAATACTAGGTAGGTGGGTCCCAGGGGCTCCCTGGGGAGGTGCTCTAGGCAGGGAGAAGTGCAACACCCTCCTTCCCCTGAACTCTTTCTTTTGACCCTTCCCCAATTCTTGCCCTGTTTTGCCTTCCTGGCAGGTGGATCCCCTGGGACTGTAATCAACTGACCAAGTTGGAAAGGACAATGCCCTTCCTGTTAACTCCTGTGCCTTCTAACTTGCCAGCTCTTTTTAACTCAAGCCAGAGAAAATTCTGGGTTGAGCCAATGTATCATTGTTTTTCCTTTGCACTCATACTTTATCCCTAGAGAGTACAATACTGAATCACACAGACTTCCTTTTATCCTGGGTCATTTTGATTCGTACAGCTCTCTGTGGGTCACAGGAACTCCTGCTCTTCTGCCCATTTCACCATCTAAAACTTCATTGATTTCTTCTGTGCCTTAGATACCATTAAAGAGACAAAAAAGTATTCTTACATAAAATATCTGCACTCGATCCAACTCTATAATTGGTTCCATGCTTTGCTTTCAATGCATTGCCGCCTTCTGTCCAACTTGAATCTGTAGGTGGGAAATGCGGAGAGAGCTGGTTTTAAAAATAAATCCGACAATCCAAGGGTTTTATGTTTTGTACAGATCTATCCCTGAGGTTTTAGACTATCTCACTAACCTCCCATTGGGCACTCATGTCTAGGTAGCCTGTTGGTACCCCACACTAACCACACCCACATTCCTTTTCATTTTGTCTCCCACCAAGGAAGCTGTTGCTATTTCTGGTCATGTACATTGTAGACATCTTTAGCTTCTTCTTTTTCCCCCTCAAAGTCACCAACGTGGATTTCCATTGCTATTACTCATTGTCAGACTCATTGCCTCAGAACTGGTCTGTTGCATCTTCTAACACACTTGCCTTCCTCCCACCAGCCTTTATCCCAGTTGATCCCACATGGCTTCCAGATGCTTATGTCTATGTTCATGATCCTGCTGAAAAGCTTTCAGTATCTCCTCATTGCCCACTGAATTAAACACAGACTGCCTAGCCTGGATTTTGAGACGTTCTACAATGTGTTCCTAATCTACCTTTCCAATTCTGTATCCCATACACTTACCCTACATTGTAATCAGATGCCAGCTTCCTCACTGTCCTTAGGATAGACACCATGTCCTTCAATTTCCTTTTTTCTCAGGATGTTTTCCTCTATCTAGCAACCCCACCTACCGACCCAACCTTGAGGGATTTTCTCCATCTTCTCTGTCCATCTGTCTTTTCCTGATCTCCCCTACTGGATTCTCTTTCTTCCGGCATTGTCTCTTTCACAGCCCTTCTGTCACGGCCTTTTTATGCTTTCACTTGTTTGTTTTTTCTTACAGATATTTGGCACACCCGTGTATTGCATGTCTCTGATTCTGCAGGAAATCTCTGGGAACTAGAAGGTCCCTTCGGTCTCTGCCTTCCTTTCTGCAGGTTCTTTCCTGAGATCAGTCACTATTGAAGCACAACACTTACTTAACTTCTGCTAAATCCTGTGTTTACTGACCTCCTGATAAATCTTTTTAAATAGATCTTTTCACAGATCTTCTAAGTACTTCTGATCCCAGACACCCCAACACGATAGCCCATTCTCCATGCACTACACACACAGCTTCTACACAGACACCACCAAAACCTCTTGTCCTGCCTGCTGGCACTGTAGTGTCAGCTGTGTTTGTCCTACACAGCAAGCTACACTTAGAGGTATATTAGGTCCCCTGACTCTCTCAGCTAGTAGAGGCCTAGTTTTAGAAACCCCCATTCTCCTTTCCTTTTCTGGAATTCACAGGTGAGTCCTAAAATGCCACAGAGAGGTGCTTAGGTAGAGGTGGGAGGAGCCTAGAGAAATTCCAAGGAATCAAGCAGGCAGCAAGTGGTGGTAACAAGGTCAGGGGCAGCATCTTTTAGGTACTTGGGACTTTCTGCATGTGCTTTCCACACACACACACACACACACACACACACACACACACACACACACACACACACGCACACATAGACTCACACAACACACATGCACGCGCACACACACACACACACACACACACACACACACATGCAGGCTTCTTACTTCTCTCCCCTCACTGCGGGGAATTCTATCTCTGCTCACTCACTGATTCTTTCTCTTTTCACACCAAACAATTCTGAGTCTGTCTCAGTTCCCAGGTTTGTTTTGCCCAGAACAGAGAAAGGGGTAGAAAGGCTGATGAAATGCCAGGAATAAAGCAGTGGCTTCATTCACACTGAGAAGAGGATGCTGTGAGAGGAAGGGGAGTTGGAAAGAAAAAAGTTAGCTAAGAAAGGACTCGGGGAGCTGCTGCTGTCACCCGTGAAACTAAGAGCAGTTCTGGGGACAGTGGCTTATCAACTATACTCACTTGTGAAAATAATCTACCAAAGAAACAAATTGTTTCTAATCATTTTCAATTCACATGTGCCCCAGTCCTTCCCTGGATCAAATTCCATGCCAACTCGTCTGACAGGATCCTTATCCTCTATTTGTGTCACGTGAATCAGTCAGCCTTAGGCCACATATTTCATTCAAATTATTCCTCAATTTTTGTTTTCCATTTCTGTAGCTCATCCCAAACAACTATCTCATGGCCAACCTTTACTTCTTTTATCCTCTGTAGTTCATTCTCTTAAAATCTTAGCTGTGGGGTAGCACACAAAGATTTCCCCCTTTTTGTTGACAAAAGAACCCTGGGAATTTTTCCCCATTGTTAATTACTATAAAGAAGGGGAGAAACAGAATTGTGATTCTTAGCTTATAGACAGATTTGGTCCTTCCTGAGAAGACAAAATAGAAATTCCATTGATTTCTTTTTGTTGTTTCAATTTTTGTTTTTATTATTTTTGTTTGTTTGGTCTTATTTTTTTAACTTTTTATTTAGTCTTGGTGTCTTTCACATCACGCATCTTGATCCCATTCATCTCCCTGTCCTTTTGCATCTGTCCTCTGCCCTGGCAACCTTCCTCCCCCCCCCCCCCCCCAAAATAAAATTTAAGAGAAAAAAAAAAGAAAGAAGAAAAGAAAAAAATCTCATCATGGATGCTGTAGTGTGCTACACTGAATCATGAGGAAACTCTTATAACCATATATCTTTACTTGCCTGTTCATTGCAAAGAGTCATTGGTCTGGTTGGAGGCCTCTGGTTTCTGCTTCACCATCACTGGGCCCTCACTGGGACTCCTCTTGGATATTCTGTTGTTGTCCTGTGTTGTGGAGACCCTGCAGCTTTGGGTCTGCAGGTCCAGCCTCTTCACCTTTAATATTTCTTTGAGACAGGCTCTTACTGTGTAGCTCTAATTGGCCTGGACTTGATTTCCAAACCAAGTTGGCTTTGAACTCACAGAGATCCACCTGCTTCTGCCTCCTGTGTGTTGGAATTAAAGGTGTGTGCCACCAGGCCCAGCTTCCTTAGATTTACTTCATCTCAGGGTAGAGCTCCAGAGTAGACTTTTCTCCTGAACTGCACTGAGAGCCAGAAAGGGTTGTTATATTTGTGTCCATCTTTTCTACTTAAGGGTGCTTCCTAGGAAAAAAAAAAATAAACCCACTTTCCAGTGGAACATGATATATTGCTAAAGCCTTCTAGCCTGTTCAAGAGCTCTTTTGCTGGGCTATAAGGACATAGTTGCAGGCAGATGTACAAACGCTTTTATTAAAGACCCTGATGTGTAGAAGAAGAAACAGCTTGAGTTGGAGTACAAAGATTGGTATGAAAGAGTTCAAGTGTGAATAGTTCTAGCATGTAAAACTTTAAAAAATTCTGATAGGTGTTCTGATTCCAAGAACATTTTAGAAAGTGGATATATTGTAAATATAGAGTTACCGTAAATAGTTCTAGAAATGGAAATCTCCTTGGAGCAAGGGGCTTGGTTCATTGCACTTGTGCAGTGTTACAGCTTCTCCGCAGGAATCCGAAAATGCTGCCAAGATTCAATAAGATTGACACATAGTACAAAATTTTCATACTTCCTATCAAAAAGTTTGAAGATGAAGAGTAAGCACTCTTCCGCACCCAAGGCTGCAAAAGACACAGAAAAGTTTACTGGTTTCTATGCGTGGAACCAATGATTTACCAATATTTTCATCTTAGAAGCACTTTCCAGCAGTTCCTATGCTGTTAATCCAAGTTTCTTCCTCACTTTCTCTTTAGCCTGTGGCCACAGGGCTCTAACAAGAAGGGCAATCTGCAAGAGACCCTCTAACTTTTGGCTACAAGTCATACAATATCTGTATTCCTGAACCAAAAGGAATGGCATGAAAAAAGATTGAGCTATTATATTGAAAGATGATACCTTTCATGAAGACCTTCTGTTGCTGGAAGACATCTTCCCACTGAAGATCTACACTGTCTCTGGAGATTCATCTGGCTTTGCTACAGTTCTCCCAAAGAGAGAAGAAATCTATAACGACTCTCATAGAAGCTGGGGAATGAGCCTAGTTCTGGACTTCATAACTAATACCCGTAATTTTGCAAATTTTTCTATCACAGGAAAAAGTGCCAGGGATTACAACTGAGGATGAAAGAGCACATGGTTGATGAGAAATCTAAATTGATTAGTGGCTTCAAAAAGTCAAAAATCCTTTCTAAGCAGAGAAAGGCTTTGTGAGGATGATACAAGGGCTTCCAGCAAGCAGAGGACCAACCCAGACACCTCCATATTCTCTCAGGAGAGGTCTGGGAATGTAGCTAACCCAAACTCTATTTATATATTCCCAAAGTGAGTGTATATGTCATCACAAGAGTCAAATGAGATAATGCCATAAAATCCCTCTGTAAATTGTAATAATCCCAAGCAAATGTTAGTTATTTCTACATATCTCAAAATGATAGGATAAATTTTTGTAACTGTAGAAGGAAAAAAAATGGCCTCAAGAAAGGCATTTAGGTATTGCTGCGTATTTTTGACTTCTGGGGACTTCCTTCAGCAAAAGGTCTTTAGTGGGTTATCTTTTAGCCTTTTCCTGTACTTCATGGGTCATGCTCCAGTGAGGAAAGGACAGGAGACATAAAATAGCAGCCAAGAGGTCGCCTGGCCTCTGTGACATCAACAAGGTCAGACTTGCTCTCATCTACCCTATCATCTACACATAATGAGGACCTTCTTTTTAAAAGTTAAGTTTATTTTAATAAGTATAATACTAACAAACATTGGCAAGACTATGAAGAAGTGTGAGCCTGCATACTGTAGGTAGCTATTTTAAATAGTACAACCAAAGTGGAAAGCAGTAGATCAAATAAAAATAAATCAAAAGCATACTTACCATATATGCCAGAAACTATACTTCTAGATATATCCAAAAGAACTGAGAGTGGAGTCTTGGGGAGATACCTGCACAGCCATATTCTTAGTGGCATTATGTAGAAACTAGAATAAACCCAAGTGCCCACTGATGGGTAGACAAACAAAACATGGCAGATACATACAGTGCAATTTTACTTGCTCTTAAAAAGGAAGAAAATGGCAGGGTGGTGGTGGCGCATGCCTTTAATCCCAGCACTCGAGAGGCAGAGGCAGGCGGATCTCTGTGAGTTCGGGCCCAGCCTGGTCAATAAGAGCTAGTTCCAGGACAGCCTCCAAAGCCACAGAGAAACCCTGTCTCAACTCCACCCCCCCAAAACAAAATAAACATAAAAATGAAGAAAATGTTGATATGAAGAGATGATTTGGCCATTAAAATCTCACTACCAAAAAGACAAGAAAGGAAATTGTGACATATCCTACAGGAGATGCACACTGAGGTCATTGTGCTAAGTTGAATAAGCTATCCTAAAAAGACACATCCTTTAATACTCCATTGATGTGAGGCATGTAGACTTGTCATACTCATAGATGTGGAGAGAAAACTGGTGATTGCCACAGCTGGGCATAGAGGAAAATGGGGGATGTCACTTGATGGGTGCCAGGTATTGCACAATAAGACAGTCCTGGGGGCTGGCCCACAACATTGAAGAGTTTAAACTCTACACCTAAAAGTGGTTGCCATTGTCCATTTATGCCAAGTGTATCTTACCACAATTAATATACAAAAGAAAACTTGGTTTAAAATATAGTAAATACTACAGCGATTCTGCATTTTCTCTCCCTTTGATTTGTGACTGTGGATCTCAAATTCTCTGCAGCAAGCCTGCTACTGCGCGCCAGAGCTTCAGTAAGCAGGGCTCCAGAGAAGGACCTGGAGAAAGCAAAGCACAAGCTCCTTGATCTGGTGTGCATTTCCCTGACACTTCTTCCTCTTACAAATATTCCTGGGCAAACGCTGCAAGATGAGTCTAGAAGAAAGCACAGCATTGTGCTTAGTAGAAAAGAGAGCAGATATTATGTAGACATGCCATATTCCACTAACAGCTGGCAAATTTTTAAGCATGGTTCAAAAGCTGCAATTGCTGAGTGGAGCTTTGAGAGAACGTACAGGAAGGAGAGCACATTCCTGCAGATTATTAACATAATCATCTCATTTATATTATAGCCAAACACCTAAGATGTCTCCCAACTTGACACTTCACGAAACAGGTAGTTAATTAGCATAGGTAAAGCAGCATTTAACCCAGAGTCTTCCCAGCAGGCATCTGGCAAGGTATGAAAAGCAAGAAAAAGAAAATAAGGATGGTGGGGGTGGTGGTGAATGGAGCCAAAAGCTCTTGGAAATGAAAATCGAGGGAAGGAAGGCAGTAGCCCTGTGGAGGTTTGTCTAGAGAGGCCTTGGCACTTTGGACTCACTAGTTCTTCGTAGTTACTTGGTTTATTTTTGGTGTAGCCATATGGTGTGAGAGTGAGCCGCCCATAAGAGTGCATGGTCAGGAATCACAGGATGTCTTTTTCCTTGCTTCCTATAATGCTGCAGACTGTTTTAGTCTCTGGTTCTGACACTGGTTCTATTCCACAGGACATTAAATCTTGGCAGTTTGTGATGTGCTGATACCTGGAAAATACAGGAGGTCAGGGAAACGCGTCACGGTCTCAGTTTACAAACTGAATAGCAAACCTTGCTCAGGATACTCCAGGCTTGTCCGTGACTGTCAAGTCAGTCCTATAAATTAATCAACTGCATAGTCACTCAAGTAGCCACCCGATGAGGAGCACAGAATGGCACGAGAACTGGCCTGAAGATCTAGACTCAAACTGTGCAAATTCCTTTGTGGCTCAGAAGGGAAAATGCAAAATGAAATGGCAGTGTAATAATCTATTCTTAAACTTGTGGTGAATCTGGGGGGCTTTGGGGGGGGGGCTGGGAATCAAATATCAGGTTCTCACAGATTTGTCTTCCTTACTGGCTTCTGTCCCATCAGAGCTATTTTGTAAGAATCCAGGCAATCTGCCCACTTTAATAACAGTAAGTCCCCTACTTGCTTGATCAGTGCCCCTCCTATGTGGCATCACATTTAACATACATAATGGACTTTGGTTAAGACAGGATTGTGTGACCAATGTTCTAAATAAGAAACAAACAAACAGAAAGATGAGGCATTTTTTTCAAGACCACCAAGCAATGGAGACTGCATCTTAACCCTTGCCATTCAGTGAGTGGCAGTGTTCTTACCGCCCCGATTCATCATTTGCTTCCAGTGCTTTGAACGTATCAAGATTTGCAGACACAGAATTGCTTCGAGGAGAAGAAAATGTTTACTCTGCTTGCTGTCTGCCTCCTGCTGTAAAAAATACCCAAAGACAGCACTCTGGCTTTAATCTTCTTGATGGTGAGCTATATATTTTAAAACCAAGTGACGGCTTAAAACATATTCTGACTGTTTATGCTGGCTAGTTTTATGTCAACTTGATACAAGCTACAGTCATCTGAGAGGAGGGAACCTCAATTAAGAAACTATCACCATAGACTGGAGAGTTGGCTCAGCTGTTAAGAAAATGCCTCCATGGGCTGGAGAGATGGCTCAAAGGTTAAGAGCACCGACTGCTCTTCCACAGGTCCTAAGTTCAATCCTCAGCAACCACATGGTGGCTCACAACCATCCCTTATGAGATCTGGTGCCCTCTTCTGGTGTGCAGATAAACATGGAAGCAGAATGTTGTATACATAATAAATAAAATCTTTAAAAAAATGCCTCCATAAGATCAGGTTGTAAACAAGCCTGTTGGGCATTTTCTTAATTAGTGAGTGTTGTAGGAGGGCCCAGCTCCTGATGGAGGTGGAGCCATCCCTGGTCAGGTAGCCCTGGGGTCTATAAGAAAGAAGGCTGAGCAAGCCATGAGGAGTAAGTCAATAAATAGCACCCCTTCCATGGCCTCTGCATCAGCTCCTGCCTCCAGGTTCCTGTCCTGTTTGAGTTCCTGTTCTGACTTTCTTCCATGATGAACAGTGATATGAGAGCATAAGCCAAATAAACACTTTCCTCCCCAATTTGCTTTTTGGTCATTGTGTTTCATCACAGCAATAGAAATAGAACTAATACCTAAGACATTAGTCTAGAACTACTCTGTCCTTGTTTAGCCAGTCTCTTTAGAAGAGAGTTCTAGCCTTGAGTACTCTATAGATGGTACCATCTCTTTAAAGGAAATAAAAGTAGTCAGAATGCCCAAGAAGCTGTATGGATTTTTCAAAAATGGTTAGTAAATTGCCTTGCTTCTCAGCTCTTTGTAGTAGTTGTTGTTTATGAGTTTATCTGCTGAGCAGGACTTACTACACAAGGAGACATTGACATTTTGACTGAGATCTGTTCTGAAGCATGTGCCATTATTATGGGATGAGCGGGTCTTCCTCCAGAGAGGATCTTGAAACAGAGGAACCACGCGGTGTTGACACTCAGAGGCTTCATAAATCAGTGTCAGTAAGGACAGGTGGCCCTGGAACATAGAAAACACCTCCTAGAGCTATCTAAAACAAACAAACTTGCCTTTGCCATTGTAAAATTTGTGCATATGTGAATTTTACTTTTACCACAAGGCTAGCGGCACCCAATATTAGGAACATCTGTACAAACTAAATTGAACAGATGTGCAAGCCATCCAATTGAGGACTAGTTTGGCCTTTCATTTCTGAGCAGATAAGTTGGCTCTATGGACATGATCTTACTCACAGAAGCTTTGGCTATATTTTAGGATTGAGTTATATTAAATGCAAGGCAATCAGCTTGTCAAATGGAACAGGCCATTCCAGGTGTAACAGAGATATTTATGTTTGTTTGGTTTTCTTTAGTTAGTTTGTTTGCACATTTTTTTTTTTTTGCAGGGGGAATAGAAATGGAGATAAAGACAAGTGTCACCAGGAAAGCTTATGGGGGGATCATTTCACACACAGGACCAGAAAGGCTGCTCTAGAGGAGGGGTCCCATGAGAGAGCTATGGAGAGAGATGGAGGAAGGGAAAGAGGGAATGCTTTTGAGGAGTGATGAAAGAGAGGAAGAAAGGTGCTTTCTAGAAATGAGCTCTCATTCGGGGAGTGATGTACTTTATAAACACTGTATGGAGAAAGCTTTTTTCTATTTACTGCAGACAGAAACCTGAGACATTTAACCTTGTGAATGATCACATTGAAAGCCCAGGCTAGTTTAGTATTAAGATATCGTTTGTTCCCCATCATGCTTCTAGAACCGATCTGAGGTAGATGTAGGACAGTATATGAGATCTGTATGATGCTAATCATGTAGTAGGCAAATCATAACACTGAAGATGGCAGAAGAAACAAATAAGCCCAAATGGAGAATAGGTAGATGGAAAACCCTAAATGGGATCCACCCCAGACTCTTAACTCTAAGGATGTATTAGGTTTCCACGTCCTAACATTGACTTTAATTTAAAAATTATCAAATGTGGCTTCTTTCTTTACATGGCTGCAAAAGATTTTCATAGCTAGAAAGGCTGACATCAGAAGAATGACCCCAGTAGAGCTTCAGTATATGAACATAACCCTGGCCCGAGCACAGCGTCCATACCATTGCCCAAGCTGGAAGCACATGGAAGTCCAGCCCCTTAAGGAACATGCTTATCCTTGTGTTGTCTTTATCATCTGGAAGTTAAAAAAGAAACATCTAGAATGATTCTTATTGTGGGATAAATTTTTTATACACTGTGAAAATGTGTCTTTGCCAGGACACCTTCTGATTGGTTTAATAAAGAGCTAAATGACCAACAGCTGGCAGGAGAAGATAGACAGGACTTCCACGAAGAGATGGGAACTCTGTGAAGTAGAGAGGTGAGAAATTCGAGAGTGAGACACAGGGAAGTCAGATGTGCAGTATGGATGAGGGGTAATGAGCCACAAGACAGAACACAGATTAATATAAATAGGTTGATTTAAGTTATATGAGCTAGTTAGAAACAAGCCTAAGCTACAACCAAGTTTTCATAACTAATAAGAAATCTCCATGTCATCACCTGGGAGCTGGCAGTCCAAAGAAAGTCTTGAGAAAATCTCTCTCTTCTAATTTTCTGTAAATTTCAACTTAATTATAAGCTATGATTGCCATCACAATTCCAGCCTCTAGCTCCTTAACTACATTAGTCTTTTATAGTAGTGGCTCTCAAATTTGATTGCAAAAGGAATCATGCAAAAGACCTGCTATTGCACTGATCTGGGTTGGGTGGTATACCTGTAATTCCAGCACTCTGGAGACAGAACAAGGCAAAAGACCTCAAGTTCATCGACAATATAGTGAGTTTGAGATTACCCTGGGCTAAATACTGCAACTGACTCACAACAACAACAAAACACTGACTGTCCTACTCTTCTGCCCTCCTCCCCTGACCCCTTGAAAACTTATAATTCACTCACTAGGTGTAAGAGGAGCTAATTTGTGTATCTCCCAGTTTACAGTTCTGCTGTTGGTCTTAGGAATGACTCTTCTTTGGTTACTTTTCGTAATTTTGTTTCAAAAAAGACTATCAAAAATATATCATTTTTAAAGTTGTTTCACTCCCTAAAAGGAAGAGGAGAAGGGATACATTAAAACTCACCACACTATGTATTTTCCATATGGGAAATCTCTTGACCCTTATAGCAGACACATGGGTTATTATTTCCAAACTTCCTTAATAGATGGAAAGCTAGGTGAAATGTTTCTCTCAATGTTGGAAACTTTTCCCAATACTAGTTGACAAGATTCAATATTATCTCTGACTTCCAATATGCATCTTCTTCTACACTTAGGTAGGCTTACCTTCCAATAAAAATAATTTTGGATGCAGTAGAATGGAGTCAGGATGCTCAGTTTTTGGCAAGGCTTCTCACTAATTCCATTTCACTTGACGTGAATTCAGTACAGTTAACAGCTAATGGGAAAGAAGAGTGCTACTAAAGAGCTCGGAAGCGGCAGGTACTCGATGGCATGATTTAGCATTATGAAGAAACTGAAAACACTTACTTCTTTCACAAACCATTGGCAAAAAGCAAGGGACAATCCATTCTCTGGCATGAATTCCAGTCCATCCAAATGATCTTCTTGGGACTGTTGGATGGTTTGTTGATCTGGAGAGGAAATTCAAGCTCCATAACCAAATGATCACTATTGCAAGAAATTGTGCAAAGCCACCAGGCTTTAATTCCCCGACAGTGCCCTTTCTTACTTCCTCTGGGGTTCAGGGATGGTGGCAAGGATACTGGTAAAGAAACCCAGCAATTTATTCTTTCCTCTGCTACCTTGTTCTCCTGCCCACTGTCTTGATGGATGTTTCAGGACTGGAAACTGATTCCCCAGCACACTCATGCAAAGAATCATTTTTACCCTACACCCTAAATTATCAAGTGGTTTCAAATAAAAACAACGTAAATAGTGACTCTCAACCTTTATTGCACATAGAAACACCTAACAGGTATGTTAAACCCTGGGTCTGGTGACATATGCCTCTAACCCCAGCACTCTGGGGAAAGGCAGAAGCAAAAGGACCTCAAGTTCAAGTCAACTGCCCACAAGCTAAGAGGCTAAATGTATACATGACTTATATGTCTATAGGCTTTATATACATAATCCACTCAGAGAGGCAAAGCATATATCAGCCGTAATGTTCAAGAATCAGAAGTATTTTTAAATGAATCAGACCTTCACTTCTCAAAATTATGAATAGGTCCAAGTCCATGCCCTGTGTAGTGCTTATTAAACTCTCCAGCTACTCCTCCACCCATAGCCACCCCCATTTCCTCCTTCTCTGGTCATCTGGCCTCTTCCTAAAGGTGGGTTTACACTGCCAATTTTAGGTTCTCTTTGGTGGAAAAGGAGCTCTAAACAGTCCCAGGCTATAACAGTTGTGTCTGTCTTGGGTTTGTTAATGGCCTAGACCAGGCATTTTGTCAACGTCTTGGGAACTGAACTGATGAAAGCTCTTTCCCTTCACATAAGATACTTACAAGCTGAGGCAAATGCATGGTTGAGATAGTCATATTCAAGGTCCTTTCTTCTTGTAGCTTCCCCTGCTTCTCAAGGTTTCCAGGATGGTCCCTGACCCCCTTCCTACCTCCATTTTTCTTTAAAAATTACCCATTTTATGACCATATGTGTACTTCTTTATTATCCCTTCATGTTCTCACTCTTTTATGTATCCTTGCCCTGGGCAGAGGACATTGGACCATATTGGCAGATTCAGCTTAGAGTTTCAGTGTCTATCAACACTCAGGCTAACTGATGCCCTGCGCTTAACAACACCAATTAGTCAATCTCTGAGTGAATTCTATGTAATTTTGATACAGTTATGAGTGGTTCTCAAATTTGGAGCTGTGTTTTGTAAATAGCATGACTGTAGCTTCCCACAGAGTTTTGGACTCTGGGACCCTGACTAGGGGCTGCAGTGAGGGAAGGAAGAAAAGACAGACACATGCATAGCAGAGCATCAGGTTTCTAATCACTGCATAGCAGAAGGGCTTTGTTAATCTCTGTAGAGCTATTTGTAGGTAGCAGCCTCAGACTGCAAACATCCCAAGGGAGTTGCAGTTGCTAGTCTTTGCATACACTCACCAATCTTTCATAAATACTCATTTAGACTCCTGAGGAAAGATTTGCCATCCCTCTTGTGTCTGGTCCTTATAGATAACAGCTTGGACAAACTGTCCCATGGGTCCCAGGCCTTGGAGTCCTCTACATGGCCATGCCCATGTCAAAATGCACAGGACTTCCCTCACTTAGGGCTTCCTCTGCCTTCCACATGACTGCACATGAGTAGAGCAACGAAATAATAATGCTAGCTTTTGAAAATAGTCTTTTTGAATGGTAGCTCATGATGTATTGTCTTAAAACAACCATGACAATGTCACCTGGAACTTGTCGGTCAAACAACCTCGAGTGGGCATCATAATTATCAAGAGTAGGCCTGTTAAAACACAGATGGCTGGGCTCTCAGCACACCTCCAGAGTTGCTGATATCAGAGACACAGTGAGACCTGAGAAAGTTCATTTGCAACAAGTTCACAGATGCTGCTGATGTGAACAAGGATCACCTTTTGAAGATAACTGTTTTGTCAGATATGGCGGCATAGGCATATATTCCAAGTTATTTATGAGAATATGTCTGACAGAAAATATAATCAAAAGGGATGGGGATGTAAGTCAGTGGTAGACAGTTTGCAGAGTATGTGAAAGATTGTAGCTCTGTCCCCTGTATGCAGAAAAGGGGGAGGGAATAAAGAAAGAAAAGGAAAAAAAGAAAGGTTATTGCTTTGGTGCAGTTAGGCTGGCCTGGGAGCTTTCAAAGCATGCTGTGTCTTATCTGAGAAAAATCAGGCCACCTCTTTGGAGGGACTGAGATAGAGGGGTCATTTGATTTTAATGTCCAGTCAGGATAGAAAATCCCTGGGCCAGACCTAAAAGCTTAGAAATTCTGGCCCTAAGAGACAGTGCCAGACCCCAGACACTTGTACCACATTACATGCAAAGGGGTAAGAGAACTGGGGCCCTAACTACCTCTTTAGTTATACAGTTATCTGGCTATGCGACCTTGACCCTGTATAAATCACCTTACTTCTTCTGTAGGTTTGTTTCCTCTGTAAAAGCCACAGGATAATGAATGAAGGTTACTGCATGTTTTTAGGGTGTGGAGGGTTATCTTTTTAAAACAAAACATTTAGACTAACAAAATGGCTCTGCAGGAAAAGACACTTGCCCCCGACCCCAATAATCTGAGTTTGATCTCCAAAACTTGCTTGCATAGAAGAAGAAGAAGAAGAAGAAGAAGAAGAGGAGGAGGAGGAGGAGGAGGAGGAGGAGGAGAACCAGCTCCTGCAAGTTGTTCTCTGACTTTTCAAGCATGCCTAGACACATACAGAAAAGGAGGAGAGGAAGGGGAGGGGAGGGGACAAAACCACCACCACCTACAAAGAACAGGAGAGCTGAAAAGTGAGCCGATTCTAATGAATCCTTATGGGATGATCTGCTCATGGGTGCTCCTATCTTTGGGACTTCAGAACCCTAGCTTTATGAAGAAGGTATGGGCAAAAGCCCAGTTTGGTGGAAAAGGCACTGCTTTTTGAACTCTCCTCGAAGTTCTGGAAGAGCCTCTGGGTGGTGCCTTCTGCCTGGGCAGATTCTGCCAACAGGGTCAGGCTCAGTCTCTGTACTCACCTTCAGGTAGTACATGGGCCAGGTCTCATAGGTCATCCCCAGGAAATGCTGCGTAGTCACCACTTCTGCATACTTCTCGATGACCTGGCTCATCCACTGATAGACCTAAGACAATCCAAAGGACAATGTTGTGACCAGACTCACTAGGCAGGTTGCTTGATTGCCTCCAATTGAGATAAACGTTTTTTCACTTATGACTACACTCAACTCTACACTCTGCAAATGCCACTCACAAGAAAAACAGAGAACTAAAGCCAGGCTTTATTATCTCCCACCTCTCACTTCCTTTCAAGACCTCCTGGGCCACCAAGTCTTAGTTAGGACAACCCAATCCCCCATTGACCTTGACAAATAAACAATTGAGAATGAACTGTTTTAGTAATCCACCAAAATGACACTTCAGAGACTATGTACATTCACACAGCCATCAGAATTGGTCTTCCTGCACCACACATTTTTATTTTATTTATTTATTCATTATCATTATTATTTGTGGGATCTTCTTTCCTCCTTAGGAGCCTAAGAGTTACAGATGGAAGCTCTTTCTGCCATAAGGTTCACGTGGCTTGATCCCTAGTACAGCAATGTGGAGGGCAACAGAACCATGAAGGTGTGTGTGTGTGTGTGTGTGTGTGTGTGTGTGTGTGTGTGTGTCTCACACAGGGAATACTGGTCTCTTGGAGTGAGTGTTCTTAAGAATGAATGTGGTAAGGTTTTGAGCCTAACCGCTGCAGTTCCCTCTGACTTCCTGACTGATAATCTCATTACAATCCGTCCTGAGGGGATGCAGCTGAGTAGGTGGTCTTCACCAGAGGGTGACCCAAACTGTTTGGACTTTCAGCTTCCCAAACTGTGAGTTAACTAAACTTCTTTTATTCATAAAGTTGGCCTGCTTTGGGTATTTTATTATAGTAGTGAAAAGTAGATTAATAGACCAACAACACCCTTTGTTAGTGTTCCAAGATTAGACAATACCCATGTATGCCCTTCCCAGAATCTGCTTGTTGAAGATTCTGTCAGACCCACGATAATAATTTTGATTAAACTTAATAGACCTGAATAGATCTGATTTAATTATGGATCATATATATCAAGCTTTGAAGGAATCTTATACTGTGACTAATAAATCCATAACTGAGGTTCCATAAGAGCAAAGTGAAAAATGAAGCCATATTAAGGCAGCCGTTATCATGTCACAGGACTCATGACACCTGAATTTCTATGTAGTTGATATTGGTCTAAAATTACAGGAAGTAGTAGTTAGATGGAGAAAACAAATTATTTTTAAAATTTAAATCTTAATTGGCATGGAGACTATGGAGAAAACTTGTTAGTACCTTAATAAAACTTGACTAAAGGCAGTTTCAATTCAGTCTGTCCACTATGAAAGAATAGCATTTATGACACAAGTACTGTATGCATTTGTGATGGATCAGAGCAGGATACAGATAGCACAAATTTCAATAAAGCTATAAATAGCAACTGGAATAAGTGGGTGTATATTTACTTATTGCCTAATTAGTGGTAATGCCGTCAACTGTATCAGCATCACAGTGCTTTAAGATAGATGTTACTAATATTCCAGTTTCACAGAGGAAGAAACTAAGAATTAAAGAGACTAAATGTCATTACCAAGGTCAAACAGTTAGCAAGTATTCTAGCCAGGTGTGATCCTATCATGGAAACCAGATATCTTCATTACTCCTCCTGTTACTATGATAAAACAAACAAACAAACAAACAAAAAACTCTGATAAAAGCAATTTAAGGGAGAAAGGACCTACTGGTCTCACAGTTTGAAAGTACATTCTATCGTTAGAGAAGTGCTGAAGGTAGGAGTTTGGTAGCAGGCTACCTTGTGTCCACAATCAGGAGGAAGCGAGTGCTGAATGCTTGTGCTTAGCTAGCCTACTGTTTGATGCACTTCAGGACCAGCTGTCTTCCTTTAGGGTAGATCCTCTCACCTTAGTCAACCCAATCAAGACCCCTCATAAGCGTGCCTAGAGGCTAACCTCATCTAAATAACCCCTCTCAGATACACTCAGAGGCTAACCTAATATAAATAACCACTCACAGGCATGCCCAGAGGCTAACCTCATCTAAATAACTTCTCACACGTGTGCTGAAGGCGTGTCTCCCAAGCAATTCTGGATTGTATCAAGTTGTCAACACCGACCAGCACATCAAACTGTTGGTTTTCCTGGGCATACAGAATCTTATTCAAAGCCATGGAACCAATAGCTCTTTGAGGTGATGTTTACAGAGGAAAGTATAGATTCTTTTCAAGCATTGTGAAACTTTATTCTAGAAAAATAATACTATATCCTCAAATGCAGAGAGAATAAATTGATAAAAACCTCTTTGGAAGGTAATCTGTGCATTTATACACAACTTTTTAGATATGTATATCCTTTAATCCAACCACTCTAAATGTAGAAGTTTATACAAAAAAAAGTGTGGCATCATATAGACATACACTCAAAGCCGTTTCTTTTTCACTATCTACTTTCAGATGCCACTAAGCATCTTTATAGCATTACAAAAGCTTCTTCACAGAAGGCTTGTCCCTCAGAGAACAACTGTGGAGCCCCCTGGATCCAGCAAGAGAAAACAACATTTTCAGCTAAACAGAACTCACTGAGGAACCTTCTCTCCTTGTGTCTTATGCTCCCACAGGCACCAACTTGTGCTCCTCAAATCTTTTAAGAGCATGGCAAACCCAAAGAAATGTTAATTATGGTTCATGTTCAAACTAGGTGCACCGGGCTGCTCCCCTTCCCTTATCTTTGTGCTATTAATCTGTCCTTTTATTTCCTATTACCAGATTTTGTAGTTTCCATGGTGGAGCTAATGGTGGAGGGAGAGATGCTTGGAAATCCCTTCAACTTAGCATACAGGCAAATCTTCAGCTCATGGTTTGAGCCATCTAGCTTGTGAATGTTAATATTGAAAGTAGCCATCCTGCTATATCCGAAAGCAGGTTGGGACCTCCAGCAACACCATCCTTCACATGTGTGTCATCACTCATCTCCCCATGTGGTGTATCTCTCATAGGAATAGGTCTTAGTTCTCCTCTGGACTGACAGCTTCTTGTCTGCTGTGTGGAGGATCTGGAATGGAGAGAAAGATATGAAATAGTGAAGACACCAGGACTTCCTGAACAGTAGAAGACTGATTTAAAAGATCACAAAGGGATTGGAGAGATGACTATCAGGTTAGAAGCATTTAATTCTCTAGGGAAGGACCAGAGTTCAGTTCCCAGCACTTATGTCAGGTAGCTCACAGTTGCCTTATAACTCCAGTGCTAGGTGACCTGACTCCCTCTTCTGCTTTCCATGTGCATTTACATGTGCACTTGCACACACAACACACACACACACACACACACACACACACACACACACACACACACACACACATTTTAAAAATAAAGTTTCAAAGGTCACAGAAGGCAGTGCACATGGGATTTGAAGTCCTAAAGCCAATGTTGAAGTAATAATTCTATGATACCTTGGGCAACTGCTTAGCCATTGGGAAATGTGATTTCTTTGTCTACAGAGTGAGGGCGATCATGGCAACCTTGCAGGGAGGCTAGAACAATTCAATAAGGCGTCGTAGATAAAAAGCACTTCTAAGTTTGTAAAAGTTGTAATAGCTAAGATTTATCGAGCTGAAACTTTTTATGGGACAGGCATTATTCTAAGTATTTAAATCTCATTTTCTCCTCTCTAAAATGTTGAGATAGATTTCTTTTTATCTCTGTTTCAGAGAAGAGGAAACCAGACCACATAGAAAGTGTTAACTGGACCTGAACCCTGGCAAGTTGACTTAAGAGCCTCTAACACTAACCACTACTGTAAATGGTGAGAATGAATCCCTATGCAGCAGTTGAAACCAATGACAATCCATTGTGACATCATCACCCAAAGTCATATTAGGGTGCATTCCTAGTGTAGTATATCCTATGAGATTTGACAGATTCGCTGTCCAGTATAAACCAGTCTAGTATCATCCAGAACAATTTTCATGCCCTAACTGTCCTCCGGACACTGCCCATCCATCCTTCCATTTTCAATCCCGTGGTAATTACTTCCCCTCACTTAACCTGCATAGTTCCACATTTTCCAGATCATTATATAGCTAGGGTCACACTGTGCAGCCTTTCCAGATTGACTTCTTTCACTTATTAATATGCACCTTAGCTACTTTTCTATTGTGAAGAGACTCTGTGACCAAAAAACTTATACAGGGAGGCATTTAATTGGGTGCTTGCTTACAGTTTCAGAGGGTGAGTTTATGACCATTCAGGCAGCAGGCAGGCATGATGTTGGAGCAGCAGCTGAGAGCTTTTATGTTGAGATAACAACAACAAGGCAGAGAGTGAACCAACTAGAATGGCATGGTCTTTTGAAGCCCAAAGCCTACCCCTACTGACACACCTCCAACAAGGACATACCTCCTCCAATAAGGCCACACCTTCTAATCCTTCTCAAACAATTCCACCAACCAGGAAACAAGCATTCACATGTATGAGCCTTTGGGACCATTCTCATTCCAACCACCACAACATACTTAAGTTTCTTCCATGTCTTTTCACAGCTTTGGTAGCTCCTTTCTCAGTGGCAGACAATATTCCCTTCTCTGGTTATGTCACAGTTTACCCCTTCATATATTGAAAGGCACAGTGGTTGCTTCCTATATTGGCTGTTATGAACAAAGCTGCCATAAACACACACGGGAATGATTTTGTGCAGACGCATTCCTAGTTCATTTGGGTAAGAACTAAGGAGTACAAATGTTGACCATATGATAAATATATTTTTTTTCCCTACGACAAACCACTTTCCAAAATCGATTGGAGACAGTTTTGTATTTTCATCAGTAACAAATGAGCTCTGGGTGCTCTACACCCTCACTAACCTTTGATGCTGGCCTTCTAGATGTGGGCTGATGTGGCAGACTGTAGTGCATCTGGTAGTTTGAAGTTGCAGCTTTCTGGTTACAGATGAGACAGAGCATCTTTTCCTAGGTCCCTTTCTTTGGTGAGGCACCGTTAGGGTCACATTATACTTACTGCAGCATCCTTTTATTAATGTTTGAATTTCAAGGTTCTTTATATATTTTAGAACACATTCTTTTTTTCATATGTGCCTTTCATAAATATTTTATCTCAGTTTCTGTCTTCCGGTTTTCTTGACATTCTCTTTAAAAGCATTAGAAGTTTATACATTTACTAAATTTTGTCATATCAATTTTTTCCCCATGGATTGAGCCCTTCCTGGCTTGTCTAAAATGTCAATGTCATATTTAGAGTCATCTAGGCTTTCTAAACCCATCTTCTAGAATTTGATAGTTTTGTATTTAACATTTAGGTAAAAGGCTTTGAGTGTGTGTGTGTGTGTGTGTGTGTGTGTGTGTGTGTGTGTGCATGTGTTTAGAGACCAGAGGTCAACCTTGTCTGTCATCCTCATTAATGCTGTCCACCTCCTTTGAGATGAGACAGGGTCTGTCATTGGACTAGAGATTACCAGTTAGGATGGATAGGCATAAAAGCCCCAGGACCTGTTTTTCTCTGTCTTCCCAGAGCTGCGATGACAGGGGCTTGCCACCATCTAGCATTGCGGGCTAGGTTCTCAGGACCAAACTAAGGTCCACATGCATGGCAAGCACTTTACAGACTGAACCACCAAGCCTCAGTGATATATTTTTGAGTTTGTATCTGTGCTTCCCTGTTCTGTATTTGAGTGGCTAGTTGTTTTAGCATTCTCTTGCAAAGAATATTTTTGCTCTGTTGTATTCTTTTTCTCCTTTGTCCAGATCAATTGACTATCCACATATGGGCCTATTTCTGGGCTCCCCAATCTCTTATACTGATCTATTTGTTTATTCTTTTGTCAATACCACACTGTCTGACCACGACTATAAGGTGACAGTAAATCTGAAATAAGGTAATGTCAGGCTTCTGACTTCATTCTCTTGCAATATTGTGTTGGCTATTCAGTGTCTTTTATTTGTCCACAAATCTTTAGAATCAGTTTGTCAATAATCACAAAATAACTCCCTAGGATCTTGTTTGGGGTTGCATTGTGTCTATAAATAAAATTCAGAAGAGCTGATATCCGGACAATATTGAGTCTTCCTTCTTGTGAACGTAAATATTCTCCCATTCACTCAGTTCTTTGATGTCTTTTATTTGAGTTCCTTATGTTTCCCTGAAGAGATGTATTGCAAATATTTCACTTTGGGTGCAGTAGTGTTTTTACTTTTTTTATATTTCAAATTCCACTTGTTCTTTTCTATGTATAGGAAATCAATGGACTTTCCTATGTCAGCCAGTTTGATCTGATGCATTCTTAGTTCCAGGATGATTGTTGCTGATTCTTTCTGTTTTCATACCTGTATATTCTTGTCCCCTTTAAACACAGGCAGTTTTATTTATACCTTCCTAAGCTGTATACCATTTATTACCTTTTCTTGTTTTATTGCATTAGCTATGCCTGCAAGAACTCTATTGAGAAACAGCAATGAGTGCAGACATTGTGCAGAAATGACTGATCTCTCTGTGAGCTTCCAGGTTCTTACCACTAAGGATGACATTAGCTGAAGCAGCTTTAAAAACTATTGGAAATCTATGGCGCCTCTTGTAGTGGATCAGTACTTATCCCTAGCATAGGAATGGACTTTGGGAGCCCATCCCACATGGAGGGATCCTCCCTGCGCCTAGACACAAGGGGCTTGGCCTAGGTCCTATCCCAAAGGATATGACAGACTTTGAAGATCCCCTATGGAAGGCCTCACCCTCCCTGGGGAGCAGAAAGGGATAGGTAGGATGTTAGTTGGGGGGGGGCAGGGGAGGAGAGGAGGGAGAGAGACCTGGGATTGACATGTAAAATAATTTCTTTCTAATAAAAAAAACCTATACATCAGCCGGGTGGTGGTGGTGCACACCTTTGATCCCAGCACTCGGGGGGGGGGGGGGGGGGGGGGGGAGCACGCTGGCAGACAGATCTCTATGAGTTCGAGGCCAGCCTGGTCTACAGAGCAAGTTCTAAGACAGCTAGGGCTGTCTCACAGAGAAACCCTGTCTTGAAAAACCTACAATAAAACCAAATAAAATAAAAAGTATTCATCACACTGAGGAAGTTGCTTTTTCTTAACCTATAATAGATGTGTGCTTGACACTGTGAAACCTTTTGGAGACCTCCTGCTATGATGCTATGACTTCCATTC